TGTTATTGATTTAAAAAATATACCACATTTATCAGAGCAGGAAACTGGACATTGTACAAAACATTCTCCTCACTCGTGCTTGATGATGGAAGTTTTCACACTAAGCGGAAGTAAAAATATCAGATTTGTGCAGCAAAAATGATCTGATTAGAAAAACCTTTAACTATTTCTATTTAAGTGCACCTCCACTGTCACGATCATTAAAAGCATTAAAAACAAAAAACACCACTCGTTTTCCTAACTATGAAGTCAGAAGTGAGCGTTACCTCAGCTCCAGCTGTAATCTGTGGCTCTTCTCGTGCAGCAGCTCCTTGACAGGAAACAGAGCCGAACCCAGCATGTACATCTGCACAGACAGAAACAACGTTAGCGCTGCCGTTCAGCCGCCTCCACGGTCCACGTGTGTCGAAACACGAGAAGAAATCTGGATGAACGGTTTGAGAAAGTCGTACCGTGCCCTGCGACCGGTCCTTCACGTCGTACACGGCGAGCTTCACCTGCGTCTGGTGGTTGATGTTGGACTCCTGGAAGAAGGCGACACTGCTGAGGAAGATGGGATTACTGGTTCCCTGTGGGGAGACCAGAGGCACAGAGAGTCAGCAGTTTAAAGGAAAAAACTCTGAATCAATGGCATTTTTCCAAGAGTCCACAGGTGTTACCTACGTTGGAAAAAAATGGTGGCTGTACATATTATGGATATTTTATTTCTCACATTTATAATCTTGTCTCTGTGCAAACACTGCCTGCACTTCAACCCAAAACTCTGAAATTCTGGCTTCACATTTGTGGTGGGGAAAAAAATGCTGAACTTTAAATTTTTTTTTTCCAAAACGTACTGCCTACACCAGCTTTAAAAACATCTATTTGTGTCGTATATTAATTAAGGAAACGCTTTGTTTTGCTATTATCACATGAAAGTTAAACATTAATATAACTGCAATTTTTCATCTGACAAAGACGTCATCTTGGACATTTTTCACCAAATAATTATTAATTTTTAAGCAAATCGTGACTCTGAACTGCTGATTTTTCTTCTTTTTGATGAGTTTAACTTAAACATTAACATAACTGTCATTTGTTTTGTTAATCTATTAAAGAGTTTTTCTTCTGTTTTGCGTTCTGAATGCCGTGAAATTGTTTATTTCGTTATTAAACATTTTAAAAATGCAGTACTAATCACTGTATGGTGGCATTATCATGACTGATACGTTGCATTACTGATATATAACAACCTTAATGCAAAAGAGCCTTTTGTCCAAAAAGATAATAAAAAACACACTTTGAAGACGATGCTGTCACATTTTGTAACTACATTCTGCCTAATAAACTTTAAAAAGTCGTATTTATCCAAGACAATCTACATTGTGGTTCTTCAAAATGCTGAAGGGTTTATTTTTTTGTCCAGAGATGCACCAACTTCATAAACTTCTGTCTGTGCTGCACCACAAGTTGAAGAAACGCATGAGTAAATGCCTTTTGTCAGAAAAACTTAAGAAAACATACATTTCTGACACTGATCTTCAGATTCTACAACTTAAATTCTGCCAAATAAACATAGAAAAAAAGAGACGTTTCTCCAAGAAAATCCATATTCCGTTGACTCATTCTGCACTCGAGGGCGTCGTGCATCTACATAAATGTGATCTGAAGCGACCCCGAACTAGAGAAGTGATTTCTGGGGTCAGATCTGGACTCGATCTGGCGGAAACTTTTCCAAAAGCATGTGGTTGCAGCTGAATTTCTTTATTCACTCCTGCGGCTCCTGATCGAACAGCGTGGGCGACGCCTCTGCAGGTCGCCCGGTGGTCAGTAAGTCACACCTACTATTTAGCAATAAGAACTTGGACTAAAGCCACATGATGAAGCTGGAGGAGAATCTGGTGAGGATTTAGGACAGCAGATGTATTTGCTGGTGCGAGGACGCTGACCTCGATGACTTCGGTCTGGGCGTGTTTGGTCCAGAAGGCCTGCGGCGGCGTCGTGCAGCTCACTGCCACGAAGCTGTTTGGTTTCCGATCCAAAGCCGGAGTCACCAGATCTGTGCAAGCTGGGAGAGAAAATGCATTTATAGTCAAAACTAAACAAGCCACGAGGCATTCACAGACTTTAGGAACAGAAGACGATCGTGCTCTTTGACACTAAATGATCATTTCCAAATATAATCAGGCGTCATTTTTGCTACTTATAAGCAGCTTTACCACATTTTATCCCACTTTCCTTTATGAAAATCCTTATTTTTTACTTTATTTTCTTCCTGAGAGCTGCTGCACTGTCACTAAAAGCCGATAAATGATGAACTGAGGCATAAATCACAAACAAATCAACCATCTGAACCCCAAAACTAGTTTAAAAAGCATGTTTTTGATCCTATTTATTTTAAAAATCACCAAGTTTACAACATTTATTCAAGTCAGAAACTATAAAAACAGAAACAATAATCAGATTTTTAACTTTTAAATGGTTTTGTAACTTATTTAATGTGATGTTTGGTTTTGTCAGAAAAAAACAACCCAAATCTGAGCTTAAAATCGAATCAAAATCACTTTATTTTATATTATTAAAAATAAAACGATTGAACTTTGTGACTCACCGACACTGAACTCCAGCACTGGTTCATCAGGGTCCTGACTATTTCCTGGAAAAGAAATCGAGAAATTATCAGAATATTTGGTTAAAAAACATAAAACATGAACATTTGTAGATTATTTTTCTGTGATTCTCAGTGTTGACAAAAATAATGCTGCTTGTCTTGAATTTTTATAACTTTAACTGGATTTTTTTAGGGTTTTAAACCGAGTCAAACACATGAAGACGTCATTTTAGAAAGTTCTTACCATGAAACTAATGAGTTAACGGAGAAAATGTTCCTGCTTTTCTTCGATTTTTATTAATTTTCTTGAATATGTTTGGGTTTTGGACTGATTTAACTCAACAAAGATGTTTTTTTGGACATTTTTCACCAAATAATTCTTCATTTTTAAGCAAAATACGCGAAAATCCTCCAGTTTCAGACTACAAACTTTTCCTGCTTTTGACGAGTTTAACTGAATTTATTTGAGTTCTAAACAGAATCCAACATATGAAGATGTCATTTTTGACCAAATTCTTCATCACTTTGTGCAAAAAAATGATTCAAAACTGTGATGATTTGCTGCTTTTCTTTGTTGTATATCAGTGGAGCTGAATTAGTTTGGGTTCTGAACAGAGTCAGACACATGAAGACGTCATTTTGGACATTTTGTACAAGTTATTTATGCAGGTAACCCAGAAAATGTTGCTGCTTTTCTTGGATTTTTATTAGTTTTCGTGAACATGATTTGAGTTTTGGACTGATTTAACTCAACAAAGACGTCTTCTTGGACATTTTTCACCAAATAATTCTTTAATTTTAAGCAAAATGTGCCAAAATCCTCCAGTTTCAGCCTCTAAACTGCTGCTTTTTCTTGGTTTTGACAAGTTTAACTGATGTTGGGGGGGTTATAAACAGAGTCCAACATATGAAGATGTTATTTTGGACATTGTTCACTAAATTCTTAATCAGCTAATGCAAAAAAATGTTGTTGTTTGTTGTATATCGGTGGAGCTTAATCTATTTGGGTTGTGAACAAATAGTCAGCTATTGGACATTTTGTACGAATTTATTATTCAGGTAACTGAGAAAATGTTTTTAAATGTTTAACTGACTAAATTAACCTCACAAAGACGTCAACTTGGACATTTTTCACCAAATATCCAATCGATTAATTAAGAAAATAATCAAACAGCTTTTTTTCTCAAAGTAAATTTCAGCCAAGAAATCTTTTAACTAACAAATATTCAGTCTGACATGGTCTTCATTGTATTTCTGTCCTTCTAAAGTGTTAAAAACCTCATTAAATCTAAACCCTTTCCTACATTTCCTGTCTTGGTTTTCCCGTCCGCTCACCTGCCAGTGCCAGGCCGATCATCTCGCTGGACAACTCGAAGGTGTTGGCGCGGTACACCGACCACGGCCGCTGTGTCCGCGAGCCTCGCTCTCTGCCGCCCGCCATGCCGGTCGGGTTCGGCGTGAACACACGGCGTCACACACCCGGACACACACTCCCATGTGACGCTTCCACGGCTGCTGAAGGCGACGCTTCGCCTCACCGACTGCAAACAGAAAGAACACAGAGGAGAATCTGAATTATCATGAGCTCTAAATCCAACATTTAATCAACCAGCCAGTCGTCTGAAAGTTATACTAATATTAATATTATGTTTGCTTTGGACTTGAAGAGCTGTGAGTTGGTAAAAGCAGGAGGAGTGTGTTGATGTGTTTTCTTCTCTGATAATATTTGCCCTGTTTTACATGCGCTGCACATTGAAATAACGATGACAATAGTTGTGACAATTAGAAGAAGAAGAAGAGAGAAGATGGAGAGAAACGAGAAGTAGGACGAGGAGATGAAGAAACAACAAAGGACTGAAGAGGAGAAGAAGGAGAAGGTAGAAGGAGGAGGAGGCTGAAGTGTGAAGGAGGGGAAAGAGAAGAAGAAGAAGACCAAAGAGTAGTAGATAGAGAGTGGAAGGAGAAAGGGAAAGAAGAAGAATGAGAAGTAGAAAGAGCAGAGAAGCAGTAGAAGATAACAGAACAAGAAAAAAGGACAAAAAGAGGACAGAGAAGAAGAAAAAGCAGAATGAGAAGAAGAAGAAAGAATAGAGAATTAGTAGAAGAAGAACAAGTAGAAGAAGAAAAAAGAGAACAGGGAAGAAGAAGAAGATAAAGAAGAAGATGAATAAAGAAAAGAAGAAGAAGAAAGAGAAGAAGTAAAGAAGTAGTAGAAGATAACATGAACAAGAAAAAAGGAGAAGAAATAAGAGGACAGAGAAGAAGAAAAAGAAAGACAAGGAGGAGAAGAAGAAAGAGAAGAAGAGGAATAAAGAAAAATGAGAAAGAATAAGAATAACAAGAAGAAAGAGAAAAGAAAAGAAGATAATGAAGAAGACAGAGAAGAAGAAAGAGCAGAAGATAAAGAAGAAGAGGACTAAAGAAAAAGGAGAAAGAAGAAAACAAGAAGAAAGAGAAGAAAGAAAAGAAAAGAAGACAATGAAGAAGAAGACAGAGAAGAAGAAGAAGAAGAAGAGAAGTAGCAGAAGAAGAACAAGAAGAAGAAGAAATCATATGGACAGTAATTTGCGTTTTCACAGTGTGAATGAGAAATGACACAGTTTCACTGAATTTGAATAAACTAAAAATATCCTTATTTGACAGATATTTTCAACTTTTTTCAAAAATTTTATCATTTTTATTTTACATTTTTTGAACATTTCACTGTTTTTTTTAAACATCTCTTTCCTGGAGTCCTTGCTGCCAGGGTTTTACAGGTTTTCTATGGTTTATTTATTGACTTTCAGGGCAGTCGTATCTTTAGCAACAAATGGTTATTGAGATAACAAATGAGTCCTTGTACGTTTCGTTCTATTCTTTTTGTAATATTTTCATCTAAACTCCTCTATTGAACGTATCACGTACTTGTTGAGTTATTATGAAACAAATATGAAACAAAAAGGACACGATAAACAGGAAACTATTTGAAGAGCAGCAGCACCAACAGCAGCTATACATTCAGCTGCTTCAGTGGCGTGAAAGCAGCAAGTTTCATTTACCACAAATAAAAAAAACCATCTGAACACAGAACACAGCGCCGCTTCAAGGAATCCCCACGACTCTGATGTGGCTCCGAAAGCAGCGATGGGGGAAGAAAGGGAAGCATGAGGAGAACAGAAACAGGGAACAAGACACAGAAAGTAAAACAGGAATCGGCAGCAGAACAAACTGCAGCGTTCAAGGTCGGCTGATGGAGTCTGTTCTCGCCCACACGGCATACGTTCAGCTCACTCCTCGTAGCCGGTTAACGTACATTTTCTGCAGAGCATCTGAGGTTCTAACTTTGTGCTTGAGAAGCTGCTAGATCTCCTCTGAGACGCCTTCCAGTTAATCTGACGGCATCTGAACGTGTCGGTTACATGCTACTATTCCTGTAAAAGTCTGAACTGCATCAGCCTTTCTTGGATGTTCAGCTTCATTTTAGATTGATTTAGAGGTACAAAGCTGTCACCCTCAGAGGAGTTATCGGGTTTATGACTTCCCAGCTAACTGATTTGAAGCTGTTTTGCACAAAATTGGCAAAACAGTCGCTTAATTTTCAGCTTCAAACAAAATAAATCAAACATGGAGTCAAGTTCAGGTTCAATGTCGGTGCAGGGAGCAGAATACGAACCTAAAAAGGGAAATTTGTGTCAAAATGTTGGTTAAAAATGCAGACAAGCAGCTACAAAACAATAGAAGAAGAGGCGAGGAAGCTGGCTGTGAGAACCCCAGCTGCTCGGCAGAAGGAGCAGCAGGGCAAACGCACATTTACGTCTGGTGTATAAATACATGCAGGGGCTGAAAGAGCCAGAACACGTGTCCGTCAGCGTCGTCCGTCGGCCTCCGGAGCCTCAGCACGCGGCTTCTATCTGAGCAAACATGAGACAAAACATACGTGAACCGTCCCACTCACAAATCTGCATCTATGTGCTTTCTCCCTAAAGGGTCGCCGTATGTCGACGTTGCTAAGAGACAGCTCCTCTTCCTCCTCGCCTCGTTCCCACATCCTCTTCTACATCTTTTCTGTTCAACTTTTGAGAAAGCTACCCTTTTCATTTTGTCCCCAAATCTGCCCCATTTCCCCACCAGAGGGTTCATCCCGATGTGGACGAGCAGCTTCTCCTGTTTTCGTTCCTTCTCTCGTCCCATTTTTGGTAAAAGAGCAATTAGCCTATTTGCAGGGAAGCTGTAAGCGCAAGGGAGGTGAGCTGGCTGCGGTGGAGAAGCACCGTGGTCCAGTTTAACGCCACACAGATGGAGATCTCTGCGCTGGATGTGGGTTAAATCAGGCTCTATTTATGGCAACAACAAAAAAAAGAAAAAAAAAAAACAGGGATTCGAGTTCAGGTTCTTTTCAACAAGAAGGTGAACCAACACCTGTGTATGTTAATAAAACGCTCTCCTGACGTTTTGCGGTTTAAACCTGGACTCTATCTTTTGGACAAATCGTCCCACAGAGCGCTCCGGTCTGAACACTGGGTTGACGGTTGGTGTCCTACTTCTGCGACGGTCCGACAGCGACGGCGTCCCACTTCGCTCAGCTCGCACACAGGTGCCCTACATCAGCGGCGTTACCTGCTGGACGGCCTGCCTCATTTACATCCACATTTGAATTTAGTTTGACTGGAAGCACATTTTGTTCTGACCGGACGTTTTCCATGTCTCTAAAACATTAAACAAATACATAACTAATGATTATTTTCATTGTCGATTGAACCTGTTGATTATTTTATTGATAAACGTTCATAAAAGGTGAAAAATGTCAACGAGTGTTTACGTTTTAATCCAAAATGTTGAGTTTACTGTCATAAAGGAGGAAAGAAACCAGAAAATATTCACATTTAAGAAGCTGAAATCAGCAAATTTTGACTTTTTTTTTACTCAAACTGATTAACGGCCGAACATTTTATTGGTATTTTCTGTTATTTGAAGGAGAAAACATGTAAATTAAGGATGAAAAAATGGCAAATAAGTTGTCCGGTGTTGTTTTACAGATGCTATTTAGTAAAAT